TATTTTGTGACGTGTTTCTAACGATAACGCAACAAGATATAATAACAAAATGGACGTAATTTCAGATAAACTGTAGTAGAGACCATACAATTTTTCACTATCCACTTCACTTTTAAAAATCACTTTTTCTCGAAAGAAAAATTCTCCAGACTACTTTCACGCATAATGTTAATCTTACCGTACGTAACATATTTGACTTCACTTAAATTTCCATAACGTAGTTCTTGCAAGTTGTAGTTGCAATTATTTTCATATTAAAATAATAATTAAAGAAAACTAATTGTAAGTAACAAGACTTGGGGAATATAACGATAGTACATGCTATTGAATAAAAATCAAAAACAATGGTAATAAAAATGATCACTAAATACTTATTCAACACACTGTAATTTTTCAAAACTTACTAATTTATATAACAAGTCTTACATTACAAGCTAACTAAACTAGCTATAGTTTCATTTTAGATTTGTCTACTTACTATATAATTATTATAATCTACACTTATTATTAAATAAGTCTTTAAAAAGCACTGTAAATAAGAAATAAAATATATCCATTAGAAATAAAGCTCTTTTCTTTTTTTAAATTAAAATCTTCAAACTTGATTTACTCAATTTCAGATTGTTGATAGTTGTAGCTTTCTGCATAACTTTGTTCAATTTTATTCAATTTAAGCTGAGATTACGTGATATATCCTAAAATAAATATTTTAAAACTTTTAACTAGTATTATAGAATGACAATAAAATATACAATAATATAATAATATACTCAAAATGTGTGATATTTTATACATATAAATTTACAAAAATGTAGAAACATTTCATATGCTTTTTTTCGAAAAATTTTGAAATATTCTATGATATTACGCGTAAATATATTATACAAACGAGTTAAAATTGTATTCTTATTCTAAAATATCATTTCTAATTTTTGTAAATATATTTCTTGTCATATTTAAATGTTTGTCATCTTTTTCACCGACCTATTTAGATTTCGTATACATTAAAGTGATTATTCATGTACCACCATGCTTGTAAACTTTCATCAAGTTGTGTGAAATTCTCCAAGCAAACAATGCAACAATTCGTGTTCTCTCAGCTATGTATGTACTATGCAAACTGCTATGCGGCTTGACAAGATTTCAATTCATCTCAAGTATCATCGTTAGCAATCTACGGCATTGATAAAGTAAAATCTCACATATCTCACGTTCATTAGTATGTTTTTACAACGGTTTATAAATTACTTCGATAGCACTTTAAATGTAATATATTTTGTTTGGAGAGCCATTTTGCTCTCAAAATAAAAAATTGAAGCAACGATGTTTATTAACATTAGTTAACGTTACAGCCAATTTTCTTACTCATTAATGGAAAAGTGGACAAAATTCATTTTTCTCGATGCTGACCATAATTGCGATCGTTAATGATTAATTTTGTAACATGAAATTCTTCGTTTTTTGATGATTATTTTTTTTTCAGTTATATATTACTTTGATGTGCCTTTTCGACTGAATTACATTATCCTAATATAATTTATAAGGTTTGCATTCAATAGAAAGTACAAAGCCTTTGCTAAAAACTCGAAAACGAATTTCCAGTGAAAAAAAAAAAAAATAGACTTTAATTGATGCATTACCTAAGCTATCATAAATATAACGAATAAACAAATCCTGTACATAGCCCTGATACAAATAGTCAAGAAAAGTGAAAGACGCGTGATTACAAACATCCACTCTAATACGTTCAAAAGATTAAAATTTTGTATACATACATAATTAGATATATCTTTATATTACGCATATAGTACATCGAAAAAATATTTGCACATTCAGATTTTTGGAGATATCTTTCTGTAAAGAAGTAGCACATTCTTGTAAAAAAGTATACACATATTTTCTAGTACCTCATTTGTACATAGAAACAATATGCTCATTTAGAAACATTAGCAATTTAAAAGAACGAAAATTTCGCAGTCAAGAAAATATTTACACACTTACGTTCATAAAAGTTATGTTCCCTTGTAAATACTTTTCTTCGAAAATATTTTGTATACATTCCCTTGACTTCAACAATCGCTAGCCTTAAAATTCATTCTTTGTAATATCACATTAAATTTTTAACCATTCTTCAAAAAATACGATTTTTAAATTATTTTTATATTTAATATTTTTCTTTTTCCGATCTCTAAGTCCAAAATAAGCTACAAATTCTTTATCAAATTGTTATCCAGTAATTGAGATTGTCTAATAAGTTATAGGTGCATCATGTAAGAGCCATTTTTTTTATTTTTATGGCAATATATTTGGGATCATTGTCTCGTCGGAAATAATATCTTTTTTCTATGCCTAATTTAATTACACTCTTGAATATATCATCTCGCAACAGATTAATGTACCTTTCAGCGTTTATCGATAAATACTAGTTTTCCAATTATAGGATATATATTTCCAAATCTAATGATTAATAAGTTTGGAATCCATTTTTCCAGAAATCTAATGATCTCTGCAAATACACTATAGCAAAATCTATTCGTTTTCCTCAATTTTTTGCATTAATGAAAGGCTTTCTTCGAACCGTTCTATCACTTATGCCAACGAAGTGCAATGTATTTCTATTGTTTAAGAATTTACATTTTCTCCAGATAATGACGTAATATCCATTGAGAGACACAGACACTTATAAATGGATTCCTTTCCGTTATAAACGGAGTCAACCTTTTTCGTCAGCCAGATCGTGATTTATTTTCTGCACTACTATTTTTTTGATATTTTATTGCCACACAAAATGATTCATGTAATATTCATGTAATTGTACACATATATAATTTTTGAAATATCCGTCTAATGAAAAATTGTTACAAATATAAAAGTTATATAGGTTTAAGGGAGCCAAAATGTGATAAAAATATCAATTTTTTGTGTGTTGAGGGCTTTCGAAATTTTCAAGGTCATCTTTATTTTTTTTCAATTGGACATTTAATTTTTCATCATAAATTGAAAGGATATTAAATTCCAAGTAAAAAAGTAAAAAAGGCAGATCCTAAATCTAATGGTTAAAGAGATATTTTAAAATAATTTGTCTCGAGAATGAAAATTGCATGATACATTAGGACCATTTGCTAATAATTTATAAACATAAGTGACCTTATCTCATGTGATGATCAAAATGATGTTCATTAACACTTATACAATTTTATAATCGGAATCAGTGAAGTAACGGCATTTTGAATTGATTGTGCACTAATTACACTACACACTTGTAAAATTCGCTGTTTCATGTTATCCATTATTATTGGTACTTTACTGTATACCTTATACGTTAACGTACTCCATAAAAAATAATCTAAAGTTATCAGATCGGGCGAAGGTAGCCACAGAAATTGATCACCACGATCCATCGGTTTTAAATAATTTCTATAATGCTTCCCACGCTTCACATGAATGAACCGGACAACCATCGTGTTGATACCAAAGTATTGAACGAATATGTAACGGCATCTTCCAACAAAACTGACAAGATAACTAATTACGTCTGCATATTTTTGCATTAATCGTCCATCAATAAAGTGTGAATCAATTATTCGATTTCCGCTATGCCACATCACACATTAACATTCCATGGACGTTGATGATCAACTTCTCTCATCCAGTGGGGATTATTTGGTACCCAATAGTGTAAATTCCGCAAATTGTTGATACCATGATTGGCAAATGTTGCTTCGTCTGTAAACAACTCTACATCCGCAAGTAAAATAATAACATTGGTAATAATAACATTTACAAACATTATCGAATCCTCTGACGATACTCTGACGCAGTTTTCATCCTCGAGACAAATTATCGTAAAATATCTCTTTAACCATTAGGTTTAGGATCAATGTGGTTTAATACTTTTTTACTTGGAAGTTAATATTCTTTCAATCTATGATGAAGAAAATATATGAGCCAATTAAAAAAAATAAAGATGACTGAAAATTTCAAAAATACTCGTTACATATAAAAAATTGATACGCCATATTTTACCTCCTTTAAAATCATACACTTTTGTATTAAACAATTTTTCATTAGACGCATAATTTAAAAGTTATTTTCAAGTGTATAAGTTACGTGAGTCACTCGTATTGCATTATAAAAAAATTTAGATTTAAGAGTTTAGCAATTTTTCTGTGATCATAATTATTTTTATCTAAAGAAATAATTTTTTCTCACACATGCACTGGTGTTTCACTGTTCGATAAATTACAAAAGAAAAATTTGTAAAATGATTTAAGACTTTAATTGTATATCGTTAAGCGCTATTCTTTTCAAAAATCTTGTAAGAAATGAAAAAGTTATCACTCTCTATTGAATTCTCACTCAAAAAAGCAATAAAAGTAAAAATATAGCAATGTTTATGTTTTCTTCTAAGTTGATGTTTTACATACAAGCAACTTAGCAATAACGTTAGAGAGCTAATTTATATTTTAATACGAATTCATATTTTCATTTGCTTCTGCAATTTCATTCACTTCTATTCTTTGTAATACATGCCCTGAAATAAAGAGTAGTACTATTATTATAAAATTAATAAATTCTTCGTTTCTGCAAGTCTTCGAAGATAATGACTATTACATCCGTCGTCACTTTTTCTCTCGCTATTTAGTGAGAATATGTTTATTAAATATATCTAATAAATTTAAATATATTTATTAAAGATTCAACTTAAGTAATAGAATTAATACATATATATTTATAAAAATATAGAAAAATTAAGCATCAACGATCTAAATATAAATAAATTTACTATACATATGTATTTTTGTATGCGAGAATATTATCCAGATATTTTCTAGAATATATGCGTATGTATACAACGAATCTGATTTAACATATAATTTAGAAGATGAAAAAAGAGTAATAACTTGTTAAATAAGAGAGGAAAACTACAAGTTTGTTAAAATTGTTTAAAGTTGAAACGATACCAAGACTGCTATTTCATTTGTTAATTTATGTTGCAGATTTGGAATCTCTTCCATGAAGAACGGACATAATAAAATGTTGCAGAACAGAAGTAAATGAAAGGATAGATGCATAGTACTGATTCTGAGATGTATAGATTCAAGTAAGAATCGTCGGAAACGCCGGTAGAATGAGCATGACCATAAACAGAAGCATTCTTGTTCTCGTTCGAAATGGCAAATATCTTCAAATAAGTTTCTACTAGATCCTAGATATAAGAACGGTTGTTCATGGAAAAATTTTATAACTTTGTGCGATATTTTTCATGGATCGATGTGATTCTGACAGGATTGAGTTTTATCGCGATACAAAGATGCTTTTCCATTTGTGCGATAAACAACAATTTCTGGATTCGTTTATAACTCGAGCAGATGATCTATCCGAAGATATTAATACGGAATATCGTTTAAGAACTTTCACTTTCCGAATTAAAAGTCAAGATTCGACAGAGAATTCTTGAGAAGTCAGATTTATCTTAAGCTGAGAGAAAAATATTTGAATTGTATGAATCTCGAGATTGATGAAAAATTAAGGAAAGTGCTCGAAGCGGTTACGCAGGAAACGAGACGAATCTTGTTTCATAACGAAAACTGTCTTAACGGAAAATAAGTCTTTTCTGATAGCTACGAAGTGAAAGGAAACGGTGATGAAGCTAAATTCGCATTAAATAAAAACTACGTAGATACAAGGACATAAAGGAAATTAGAAACGATGAATTTGCTCCAAAGAACTAAAGTGAATATAAAGACATGAAGGCAAAAAAAACGAAAGCTTCGTCGATAGAAGATCTCACTCAGTTTATATTTGTTTAAATATTTTGAAATATAAATGAAATAAAGTAAAATTTGCCAACAGTGTCCAAGATACTTATTTAGGCGAAGAGGAAAGAGTCGACAGAATTCGAGAAGAGAAGATTTCTTTAACAATGTAAGATAACAGTTTCTAGCAAGAGGCCGTGAAATTCGCAATCGTAAAAAGTGAAAATACTCCTTTCATTACGATGAAACGTGATAAGAAAACAGAAAAAAATGCACATGAGAAGAAAAAAATCTAGCAAAAAAATTAATCACAAGAAAGAATTCATCGAATGACATTGCTCCAAAGGAAAAGCAATGAGCTTCTTAATTAAAATTCGGGCTTCGAGCTTCTTACTAAAATTACACGTATTCATTCGATAAAAGAAAGAAAAAAAACGGTAGAAAGAATTCTCATCTTCGATAGTCTGAACCGTTATATCTGAAATACTGATATTCGGATGAAAAAAATCTTGTTCACCGTATAGAGATAACCCACGAAAACAATACGAATTGATCCAGTAGGTCAATGGCTGAGCCCTTACTTGTTAGTCGAATGGAAGCCTATTAGAGGCGGTCGTGCGTGAAACAAAAGTGGAAGCGAGCATCGTCGAGGTGAGTCGACTATGCCAATTGTTCAGCTTCGTCTCTGTCGCAGACCAAATCTACATAATATGGCAATAAGTATTATCAATTTCTTCATAGCTGTATTGATACAGAATAAATGAAGCATATTCCTATCTCTGCGTACACTACCTCTGGAATTGGCAATTGCTACAACTGAAGGATAGTAAAAAATAACAAAAACTATTAAACGTTTAAGTATAATGATTAATATAGAAAGAATACGTTCTTGTTTGGCACATGTTAAATCGTAGAAGTGATTTAATACAAGTGTAACTCGTGAAATATCAAGTGATTTCAAATATTTAAATTATGTTCGTCCTAAATCTCATCAATTGAATTAAAATATGGTGGTAATGTCTTTAAATTACGATTTGTGATTATGTGTGTACGAGTATTGTTCTTAATAAAAAAAGCTAAGTGCCGATAATAAATAAGAATTTTAAATAAACGCGTAAAATCGTACTTATTCGGTCTAAATCAAGTGAATATCAAGAAAAAATATGTGTATTTAAAAATTTACTGTTAATCACTAAATTAATGAAAAAAATGCAGACCCTCGAAGTTTTCATGAATTCGACTCCTGACCCATGGAATATGACATCACTATTGGAAAATTATACTTATTACAATAACACAAACATTACAGATTTACAATTGAGAAATCAATTTATACTTCCATGGTGGAGACAAATGATTTGGACATTGTTGTTTGCGGGAATGATCGTCGTGGCAACTGGTGGCAATCTGATAGTCATTTGGATCGTGTTAGCGCATAAACGGATGCGCACAGTCACTAACTATTTCTTAGTAAACTTGAGCATCGCAGATGCGATGGTATCTACACTGAATGTCACGTTCAATTATATCTACATGTTGAACAGCCATTGGCCCTTTGGCACACTGTATTGCAAGATATGTCAATTCGTCGCTGTACTTACTATATGTTCCAGTGTCTTTACTTTAATGGCAATTTCTATAGACAGGTAAGTGTGTTGTTCTTAATCAAAGCTGGAATCGTTTACTCCAGAAAAAACACTGTTTTTTATAATGTATATTCCATATACACACTTTTGTATTTACATTTATGTATTCATTTCATTTCTAGGTTTAATAAGAAACAATAATTAAATTCACAATTAGAAAAGATACAAATCATTTTTCTATTAAGTGGGCGCTATTTAATTAGCTCATTTGCCAAATCGATTAACTTCATAAAACAAAAAGTGGAAAAATGTGATGAAATAATATACATTGTTTTTAAAAGTTCCCTTTAAAATGTGAATTCAAATAAATATTGTAAAATATATAAATGCAGATGTACTTTTATCTAACGATATATAAAATGAATAAGATAGAATAGCCTTGGAGCAATCGTTATTAATATTACAATTTTTGCGTGACTAAAAGAGTTAATCGATTTGACAAGTGAAAAAAAGTAATAATATCAAATAATATTCAAATTATTTTTTTTATTACAGAAAAAGATCAGATTATCATATATTTTTTATTAAAGAATTTTCACAAAAATGAATAATAACTGTTCTGTTACAATATATTGTTATTTGTTATTGATTCATCAGCAATAGCAATCATGTTTAATAGGAAGAATGAATTTTAATAGAATTTTACACAATTTTAATTTCCGTCATATCTTTCCTCTTCTCTTGTCACAGTTCTACCTATAGAATATAATAAAAATTTTGAATCTTGGTTGAAGTCATATTTAAATTGTATGATTACGTGGGATGATTACGCCTTTCTAATTTTATCCAGTGCATCCACTGGTAACTTTTTAATTATTACTTTTCTATTAATGATAGAAATTTCTAAAGGTTTTGTCGAGAAAAAATCCTGATGAGTCATTTAAATTACATTAGATGCTTTCTTTTTATTGGTGTTGATTATATTGTACCAATCATCTGGTGAAAAAATGTTTCGAATTTTTTTCGCATGTGACTCGATAATGGCAAAATCTGCAAATAACTATGTCCACTTACCAAAATTTCATTTTAATTAACTCAGCTCTTATTTCTGAACTTTGAATCAATTTCAATAAACCTAAGACAGTTTGGATATTTCTATTTTATCTAATACGTGAATTTGAATATGTTATTATTTTTTTTGTTTAAAATTTTTAGCATAAATCTTTATATATTTTATTGGGCATGATGAAATTTTTTGAGACCCACGAGATCCTTCCGTTTCTGGCCAAACAAACATGTGGCTTAAATTTTTATTAAAATTATGGCAACCGAAATTATAAACATATAAATATTGTTTATAATAAACTACCGATGTAGTTTAGGAAAGTTTAGAAAGTTTAGGAAAGGCTAAAGCTTTTTCTAAGTCAAAAGAAAATACAAAAATTTCTTTGGATGCTGCCATTCGATTTGCAGCCATAAGCCTGTTCAGCTCGTACTTGCTATAATTCACAAATACTTGATTCTATGACAGTTAGACTGCAACTGACTAATTTATTTTACTTTATTTCTGATGCTACAGCACTAAACAATTTACCGTTATCATTATAGCACTTGCTGCTGCATTATTGCAACGATTTATATTGGAGGATGGCTTGATTATTAGATTAGTCAGAATGGCTTCTGAAATAAATTATTTATTATTCGATGACCAAAGAAATTTTGTCATTTAATGGTATTAATTTTTATTATTAGGGAAATTTATTATGAATATAAAATGTTAGGACTCAATCAAGTGATTTGACACTTAAATTTAAAATAATTCAAAAAGTGGAGTTAATCGATTTGGTCTCAATCGATTTGGAACGGTTCATTTATTGAATTTATTGTCATCGTAAGGCATAAATATTTATATTTAAATCCAAATTTAAATTGAATGATATTTAAACAATAAGGGATAATCATAACTCAATCAGCTTAAATTGTTTTGTCTTAGAATTTGTAAAAATTACACCTTCGAAAATCTATTTATAATATAAATAGAATTTAAATAAAAAGAAGGAAATTGTTTATGAGAATTGATATTTTGTAAATGTAAGAAAGATTGTGATTTGTAGGAAATGAAAAATTATCCAATACTGATCAATTGTTAACACATAATCTACGAATTGTTCGCGCGCTATTACATAATGCGGATGACTTTTTTCACTAATAAGAATTTTAATAATATTTTATTAAAATAATTAGTGGCATATTTAACGTGTATAACAATAATAACAATGAGTATACAGAATGTTTCACATAATTTTGACACCTTGATTATATGAATATTATTCTTAATGAAAAATTTTTATATAGGAATTGAATGGTGTCAAGGAAGACATATTGCTATTAATTTTTTGTGGATAGATACATAAAGGTCATATAAAGTTCGTTTTTTTAAATAGAACTCTATATCTTTTTATATATCAATCGATGCAGCTTTTTATTTTCTACAAAAAAGAGTATTGACCTATTTATATCGAAAAATTAAGTTTAAAAGATATTTCAATCTTGATTCTATAAAATCTATTGAAAGATAGAAAGGAGTAGTATACATTGTTTTTTATACATTTTATGAAATTAAAATTAGAATATCTTCTAGTGATAAGCAAAACACGTAATATAAGTAATATAAATATTTCATTGAGTATTTCCATGTAGAATATAAAAAAAGCAAAATATGTGATTTTTCATTTTGGCTTCCCTAAAAAAATTTTACTATGAGTATTCTGATACAAACTGTTTTTCTAGTGTCAGATTTGCGGCGCAATTAATTTAAATGAAAAATTTTTTAAACTGCTATAATTTCGTAAAAAAGATCATATCTGTTTGATCGTATTTTAAAATATAAAGCTTCCATTTTGATCGTCCTGAATTTGTTTTTTTCTTTTAATTTTAATATCATATAGATAATAGAAAAATGTTCTTTCCTTTAAAAAGATTCAAATAAAAATTTTATTTTGTCATGATTTTGAAGATTGAAGTTTTCCCTCTACAGCGATTCCTTAAAGCTTTCGTAAAGTTGTACAATTTTTTTTTTTTTTTGCAGTTTATTTGAACAGGGATAGACGACAAAAATTCAAGAAATCCTAACATTTCGTCATCTAACCCTAATGTTCAAAGTTGAATAAAATGACCCAAAAAAAAAAAAAAAATCGTACAGCAACGTTTAAGGGTTCGTTGCAAAGAAAAAATTTTAGTCTTCAAGACCATTATGGATCAAGACATAAAAAAAAATTTTTTTATGTTTTAAAAAATATTTGAATTTACAAAAATAAAAGTAATCTTACTTTCTCATTTGCTACATCATAAATAAAAACATTTTTGAAGGAAAACTTAGGTCAATCAAAGAAATTCACGATTTACAGTAAATTAAGATTGAATAGATTGTTATATGATTTTCTTTCACGAAGTTATAACAGTATTTAAACAGTATCGATCAATTTTCATCATTATACGTTATGCTCTTCATTGCAACAATAATATATAACAGATAAAGTGATTAATATTTTCTTGATCTATACATTCAACGTATGCTATTTTGGAATTTTAGAAAAAGAGACTTCTACAAAAAAAGATGAAACAATAACTAAATGAACATATTTATAATTTATACATAAATTTATCCTTGTTTGAACCCTCATCTACGAACAAAATATCAGCGTACTATGTACCTAAATGCATAGTTAGCTATTATTTAAAAAATGACTTAGGATATGGGAAAAATTGTATATATTAAAATTATAGGAAATGGAATACTCTTTCAATTTTATTTGAACAAAATTTTGATATCATTTTGAAGACATTTTTCAAAAAGTCGAAAAAATCGAAAAGTTCAGAACCTTAAAACTCGGCCTACATTCTTTCAGGAATTAAAAAAATCTTTTGCACAGTTTATTTTAAAGGATAAAACCAAAAATGTTAAAAAAAAAATTATCAGGTGTAACTACTGAACAGCACTACTATATGACAAATGTTCAAAAATATTTCAGATTATGGTGGTGTATTATACACAAAAAGGCATTATAAAATTAAAACTTTTTATTACATTTAATAGATTAAAAATGATATATATAATAGGAAAAAATCATTTACACAAGGAGCAACGAAATATCAGCTTTAAAAAATAATTTTTAACTTCTTGAACATTAAAGTATTTAATTCCTCAAAACATCTAAAAGAATTGAGTAAATAATGTAATATATTACACACAATTATAATATTTATTTGCTCATTTAAATAAAGTGCTCGTTTAAATATATCATGAGAGGATTAACTTTGATCAGTATTATGTTACAGTCTCCTCTATTCTAATATTTTATTTTATATTATATATGTATTTCGTTGTCTCAAAGATTAGATAAATAAGACGTTTTAAATTGTAAATTATCCCATAGATCGCAATTATTTCTGAGAGCAGCATTGCAACGTTTATTCTGTCATAAACTTAATGGAAGTCCTATTATCAAGGATTATGATTTAGAACTTAACTACGACTTCAAACTGAATTACTCGAGGGTTGAAAGCCGATTAAATTTAATTTAATACCTAGTAATACGTAATAATTCGATTGGTTCAAACAGTTATTACTGAGAATCTTGGGGAAAAAACTTAAAGAATGAAAGCTGTAAAGCCACGCAAAAAATTACCCGTCTATAAGCTGGACGAATACATGTGTAATTGGCCTCGACTGTAGAAGGAAATACTTTGACAATTCATCGCTCCAGGAAAATAAATAACGCTCGACTTGGACAGCCGAAACAAAAGATGAAAATCACGATTTCAAAGATAGAAATCTAGCTTTCTGTGTAGCTAGTAAGCGGACATTCAAATCTGTACTGGACGTGCGCCGTATATGTGGAAACAACGTACAAAGGAAAGCAATTTACTGTTCACTACTTTTTCCTAAAATTGAATATTTTGTCAAACGATGTTTAGCTTAATAATGAAAAGAATCATCGATTGCTTATTCAATAATTATCTAATGTTTAAATAAATTCACGAAATTAAGCAAATTTTAG